CTTCCTTAATGGCACCAAGGTGTGTCCCTCTCAGTTTATCACTATTGACAGTAAGAGTAAGCTGAACCTAGATTTTGAAGATTGGGTTGCAGCAGATCAGCTTCTATTTTGCTAGTCATTAAATATCATGACACTAGAGATCTCTTCTCAAATGGTCTCCGTTTCAAATGCTGTTGGCCTTTAGACAGCTGCAAAACAGCTAGCAGGAGCTCAAACCAAAGCAAGGATTCTAATGTTGAAGTCAGAATTCCAGAAAACAAGGAAAGGAACAATGAAGATGACTGAGTACTTATCATGCATAAAGAATCTCTCTGAATAACTCTTCATAGCTGGCTATCCAATCACTCTTCCAGATCTTATCATTTAAGTTTTGGCTGGACTTGATGCTGACTATAATCCCATTGTTGTTCAACTGAGCAAGGAAGCTAGTAAGCTAAACTGGATAGAATTTCACTCCTCTCTGATGACCTATCAAAGTCGTATGGATTAGCTATCTCAGATTGCTTAGTTACAAGTCTCCAACAATTTTATCGACTATGCCAAGGCTAAATAGTATACACCATGCAACAGCTGGCATGGTGGTTGAGGTAGATGCGGTTCCCGAGGCAGAGGCAGAAGAAATCAATTTGGTGGAAGGCAGAACCACTTTGATGGTGAAGTTATAAAATGCCAGTTGTGTAATCGAATTAGGCATGAGGTTGAAAGGTGTTTCTACTGATATAAAAGGTTATTTGTCAAACCTGAAAAGAAAAGGAATCAATTTAAGACTAGTTCCAGCTCTGGGTCAGATTTTTCAGCCTATTGGGTCAGCCCAGAAATAGTAAATGATGATGCATGGTACCTTGATAGTAGAGCCACAAGTCATGTGACCAACGATGTCAATCGCCTAAAAAATCTTGTTGACCCCAATGGTAAGATGCAATTAGTAGTTGGTAATGGTGACAAATTACCTGTTGAAAAAGTTGGTCAGTCAATTATATCTAATATACTACATAAGACAGTTAAACTAAATGATGTTTTGTTTTCTCTTGGGATTAAAAAGAACCTACTGAGTGTTTATAAAATGGCAGATGATAATGATGCAGATGTTATATTTAACAAAAATGGATTCTATGTGAAGGAACAGGAAACAGGGGAAACTCTATTGCAAGGGGTACCAAGTAATGGAGGCATGTTCAAAGTCTCATAGCAGAAGAAGAGGAATGGTCATGTTGAGCTAGCACTTATTGTTCAAGGTACTATTGTTAAGCTAAGGATTCAGTAGTAGTACCATCTAAGAATCCTAGTTTTAGTAGAGTTTTAGGGCATTGTAGACTCAGACATCCTAGTGATATGGTGCTCAATCAAATTATTAGTGAATGTAACTTGAAAGTTATCAAGAATGAATCTGTCTTTTGTGAATCATGCAATGGCACCAAAAACTTGTTCGCCAAATAGCTAAACCGCAAGCAGACGGGTCGCAAGTAATATAAAACGTATCATTTCCTCAGACTAAAGCTAGACAAGTCAAGAATCATAATTGTGCTCTTGATTAGGTCAAGTAAAGTAAATGTTGTAAAAGAGGTTGAATAATGTGATCAGAAAACAAACATCTAAATTGAAATAAAATAAACTTGACTTTGAGACAAATAAAGGTCTAGGGTTATTTTTCACTAATATACTTCATAAACCTTGAGTAATCACTACTCAAATAGTGGTTAATAATAAGTTAAGTTAGTCTAGGGTTCACAATTATTGATTAAGCTTTTTCAAGTTAAAACCAAGTTTTGCAATCTTAATAAAACTTCGCAATCTCTTGCTCTTGTTTAAAAAGGTTACACTTTGAAAACCAAAACCCTTTTAGGACTATGCTAGGTCAATAGATATATCTCTATTCTATCAATAAACCTTCCATTTATTAGGATAAATTTCCGGTCCAGCACATTTTTATCAAAGTTCAAAGATTAATTTAACTTTCTTAAGCTTCAATCAATCAATTAATCACTCCAAATGGTGGCCAATCACAAAGAAGCGTTAAGTTCAAGATAAAAACAACATAACATTATCATTAACACCAAAGAGAGAGTTAAAACAAGTCTTAATCCATACAATAGATCAAAATAACCCTAGAATGATTATTCTAGCTACACATGTTCAGCAAAGAGCTACAAGTACATAGACATTTTGTAGCCATTACAGAAATAAAGGAGAAAAGAAGAAGAAAACCAAGGAAAATGAAGAAAGAAGCTCCAAATCTCTTGCAACTTCAAGCTTAATGTTCCCAAGCTTCAAAATGTCCAAACCCTAGCAGAGCAAACCTCCAAACAAGCCCTAAGTCAAAGTGTGTCCGAAAATCATGAGTCCTCCCACTTATATGCCCTAATTTTTAAGTTACATTGCAAAACACACAGCTGGAAGGGGGTAGATGCCGCAGTGTATGTGATCATCCGTCGCAGCAGATTACACAGAATGGGGCTTTTGTAAATGGTTGGGCACCGTGACAGATATGGACAGGTGCCGCGGTGCCTTACACTGAATGGCTTTTCTTCCTTTCTATTGGAATTGTTGTGGCGGTTTTCTTCATGCGCCGCGGCAGATGGTGCTTCTTCAGTTTCTTCACTGTTATTCTTCTATCCTTGCTCACTCTGTGTTCTTGATCTTCTCCTTGTCTTTCATCTTTCAGCTCTTGCTATTTCCTGCACCAAGAATCTTAGAAGTATTGCACAAATAATCCCCAATTGTTAGCATAAACTAAAGTTCACTTTATCAAACCATATTTTCTAACTTTAAGAGAATAATCCTACACAAGAGCTTCCAAAACCTAGAAAAAAGTGATAAAATAAGTTGAATTAATAGGAATTTCAAGAGGTTATCAATGTTTTAGCCAAAATAGGAGTTGGTAGTTGATTTATTATTTGTGTAGCTATGTGAAATGCTTCCCACTAGTAGTGTAGTGGCATTTTCACCTGAGCCAGTAGAGTTAGTTCCATTTCAACTATGTGTTGATGCTTTCTTTCAGCTCTACCATTTTGAGTTGAGGTATGTGGACAAGAGTGTCTAAAATGAATCCTTCATCTTGTAGCAATTTAGAGAAACTTCTATACTCACCTCCCCAGTCACTTTGAACAATCTTTATCTTGCTTTCAAACTGATTTTCGGCAAATTTCTTACAAAGAACAAACATATTGATAGCTTCATCTTTTGCTTTTAAAGGAAAGATCCAAGAGTAGTGGCTATAGTCATCGAGGAACAACATATAATACTTAAAGCCATTCATAGAGTTGAAGGGTGCAGGGCCCCACAGGTCAGTATGTATCAGTTCAAGCAGTTTTAAGGCATGAGAGTGAGATACTTTAAAAGGGAGAGAGTGAAATTTGCCTTACTTACATGATTCACAAAAGACAGATTCATTCTTGATAATTTTCAGGTTACATTCACTAACAATTTGATTGAGCACCATATCACTAGGATGTCTGAGTCTATAGTGCCACAAAACTCTACTAAAACTAGGATTCTTAGATGGTACTGCTCCCCAAACTAAAATCGGTTTTATAATTTTAAATAAGCTCCTCCTTAAACTAATATGAATGGATTAAAAATGCATTAAGCCAAGAGTATGTTTTGCATGATAATTAACATTTTCATATCCCCCCTTTCGGGCATCCATTCATCGTGATCAGTCACAAACACTAGTAACTTTCAATAAATTGAAGAACATTGAGTTGACATGGGCAAGTGTCCATCTTATTTGTAATTTTCCTACAGCCCATATTTCCCGAAAGAAAAACGAGAAAATTTGGGGAGTAAGAGACTAAAAAAAATTTGAGGAGCATATCATGTAAGACCGGAGAAAGTAATAAAGACCTAAAAAGACAGTTTTTTTTTTTGGGGGACCGAGAAAGACAGTTACACGATAAAAAAAAAAATCGCATGTAATATAACTTTTACTTACTTTTATAATTTATTTACTTGTAGATATTTTATTGATGTTGGAGTAATATAATATTAATGGGATTGCTAGTTGTTACCCATTTATGATCCCATAAAATCTGCGTCATTACCTGCTACGTTGTCCTTCCTGAGGTTGTTGCATATTGACATGGGCAAGTGCCTATCTTATCTGTTATCTTACAAGTTGCCCAATTTTTTATTATGTAAATTAACCAATTTTTTTTCCATTTTCCCTTGGAAGATACAAATACACATTTTGGTGGTGTGGCTTGATCCTATTTACAAGATACATTTAAAAAATGTCTAGAATTTAAACGAATTTTTTTTCATTTTTTCCCATTCATTACGTGTTACTAAGCTTATAATTATAACCCAAGAGAGCATATCATTACATTGAGTGTCTTTAACACATTTTTTTTTTCATAGTCATCCTCTTTCTCATTCGCTTTCTCCCTCCTCAAATGAAGATTTTTAAAAAATATTTTTTTTTAACATTTATTCTCTTTAATTAACTTTACCCAATTTTTTACTTATATTTTATATATATAGGATTAGACGGAGTACTCCCTCTATCCTTTATTATAAGATCCTTTTAACTAAATTGTGCAGTTTAAGAAAATAATTAAAATTAGTTTAAAGCAATTAATACATAGCAAATACAATTTTTTTTTTCAAATATACCCTTATATATAAATGGGCATATATGAGAGAGTAATAGTGAGATAAATGAAGAAAGAGAATATATTAAATGCATTAAATTAGGAGTAAAATAGGTAATAATACATTAAATGCTTAGACAAACTCAAAGAGGATCTTATAAAAAGAGACAAATCCATTCAAAAAATTAGATCTTATAATAAGGGACGAAGTAATATTGTTTTAATAATAAAGAATCAAATTTAACGACATTAAGTATCCTTCTCATTTATAGCAAGACAATGAATTAGCTAATGTGTAATCTTACATGCATGTTTTACACTTGGCAAAATCACAGTTCCCAACAAGAAACCGAGACACATTTATAGCAAGACAATGAATAAATTGTATGAAGGAAACGCACCTGCATCAATTCATTTGACAATTCCTGCTCTCCCCAGCCATGGATGGAACTGGAGACAAAACAGCAGACTTGTTTCATGGCCAAGCCCAATTGTACAGACTCATGCATCTTTGGATGTCTTCTTTATGTCTAAAGTGTGCAATTGAGCTTGAAATACCGGACATAATCCACAAGCATGGCCAACCCATCTCTCTTTCTCAGTTGGTATCAGATCTCAAAGTTCCACCCTCTAAAACTACTTTTATAAAAGGGCTCATGCGCTTGCTGGCTCACAATGGCCTCTTCACCATCATCAAAAGCAACAACAATGAAGAAGAAGAAAGTGAAGTATCATATGATCTCACTTCTGCATCGCAGCTTCTTGTGAACGGCATAGACCATTGTATATCTTCAATGGTTCAGTTGACTGTAAGCCCAGCTTTGCTTGATTTGTATCAAAACTTGGGGAAATGGGTTCGTGGGGAGGAAAATACATTGAGAGAGACATCGTTTGGCGTAGGCGTTTATGAATTCCTTACTCAAAACCCAGAAGATTTGGCGGTCTTCCTAGAAGCAATGGCTAGTGATTCCAGATTCATGAAACTGGCAATGAAAGATTTGGGATCTGTTTTTGATGGACTGAATTCCATCGTTGATGTTGGCGGTGGAACTGGTACAGCTGCTATGATTATTTGTGAAGCATTCCCTAAGTTTAAATGTACGGTGCTCGATCTTCCTGAGGTTGTCTCAAACTTATCTGGAAACTGCAATATGAGCTTTGTTAGTGGGGACATGCTCAAATCCATCCCTCATGCTGATGCAGTGCTGATTAAGGCAAGTATATTCTACATAAAAAATACAACGTTACATAACAAATTTAAATCTTGCATCCTCGCAATTCTACAAGTTTTTCATTTTTAGATTAAATCATTTGATTTTCAGATATTACTCAAACACATGAAATACCTGGAATGTTAGATTACTATCTATTTTCGTTTTTACAGTGGGTTTTACATGACTGGGGTGATGATGATTGCTTAAAGATACTTAAAAATGCCAAGGAAGCTATTTCAGGCAATGGAAAAGGGGGAAAAGTGATCATCATAGATACAGTGTTGAATGAAAAGCAAGAGCAGCATGAAGTGCTAGAAACAAAGCTCTTACTCAACATAATGTTGGCGGCTGAATTCAATTCAAAAGAGAGATCCGAGGAAGAATGGAAGAAACTATTCCTGAAAGCAGGCTTCACAGATTACCAGATATTTCCTGTATTCGGCTTTAGGTCTCTCATTGTTCTTCATCCCTAGACTTGCTGGGAATCAAATAACTTGTTTTACATGTTTTAAAGTGAATAAATTTGCAGTAGAACAAGAAGAGTTTTGATTCTTCTGCAATTTCAATGAGCTACATAACATATCGCGATAAAGAAATTGTTCCCCATCTTATAACTGCGGCCGAATCATCTAGCAATTTATAAACATTCATGTTTACATAAAGTCATTACTCAGTTGAGTGAAAAAAAAAAAAACACAGTTATTACTGATGAATGAATAAAAAAAACTAATTTGTAGAGTGCATCTGTTAAAACATGTTAGAAGACAAGAAAGAAATCAAAATAGCACTATATCATGCACGTTTATAACCATTCAAGGGAAGGAAATAACCGACCTGAATTGTCGTATTTCTCCCTTGCTCAGTTCTGAATCAATTGAGTTTCCAGCACTTAAGAGCATCGTATTATGCATAGAGACATATTGGCAGCTATTAGCGACGATCTGGACCAATGAATCCACTTCACAGGCTCTGTTTCTGTACTCTACTGTGCATCGTATTGTACCAATATACCACGCAACAATTGGTAGATGTGGAGATCAGTATCAATCCATTTCATGGAATGAACAGCTTGGTAGAGTTAAAATCACCAGTCAAGTGAAGTTTCAAATGGAAAATGTTGTAACAGCCAGAAAACTGATGTTAACTATATAAAGCATGGAGAAAATTAAAAAAGGAGTGTTATCCATGTTTAATACAAACCAAATATTTGTATCAGATATGATAAAGCCGTTCAAATAACACTTGGACGATTAAAAACTTGTTACCTTCCTGTGTTGGATGTCCATTGCATGTGCCCAAGTCCATGTTATTATTTATGTTTCGTAGGCTGCAGCCAAGCGTTTCACTAATTTAATGACAAACTACCATCATTTATTAATTCTTGTTTAGAAATGTTTTTCCTTATAAGCAAAAAGTTTAGATGAGTTGGATTTCAAAAGCTCACTAGGATGAGGGCATGCCTCTAAACTTAGAATGCTTAGAAAAGTACTTACAAATCGCTCACTAATAAGGTCTTTATATTAGCAATGGGATTTGAACTCACAACTTGTGAATTGTAAGCCAACTCCTTACCAACTAAACTAACTCTTGTTGGTAATTCTTATTTAGAGTTTAAAACAAGAAAAATTTTAAATAGGCATGTCCTTATTGGAAATAAAAGCCTTTTTTTTTTGTGTGTAAACTTAGAGCATCCTCAAATCATTTTGGACTTGATAAAATCTCTGTCGAGCTGTGAGTATTAATTATGACAAATTTTTCTATGTTTTGAAAATTCTTTATGAAATGACTCTGCAACTCCTTCTTCACGACGACCAATTAATTCACAAACTTTTCGCTTGAATAAACTATAATGAATTTTTCGAAGTTTTCTTGGTAGAAGAGTTATTCAAAATAATTTTAAAACCAAGGTAACTCCTGCCAATTGCTATTTTCAAGTAATATTGATAAGTAAATATTTCATAATTAAATAGGTTAAATTCTGAAGTATACTTGTGTAACACCCCGAATTTTCTGACTCAGGATGAGCAGAAAAGAGAAATTTCATTAAAATTATTTAATAGCTCAAGCACAATTAGGAAAAATTATGGAATATTGATTTTTCAAGGTTTAGAAATATTTTGGAAAAGTTCATTCCCCAAAAAGTGGCTTAAATAAATTTAATAGATAATTTTAAGAGAAAAATGGTTTATTTTCTCTGAAAATTAGGGAAAAATACTTAGAGGTTTCTAAATAACTAGAAAATTTTAGGGAAATTATCTTATGATGTAGAGAATTTATTTGAGGCATAAAATCCTTAAAATGGGTTAAGGATTAATTTCTGGATTTAAGGGCTATTTTCTTCCACAATTCAAGAAAAATAGGTAGGAGATGATTTTTTGACCCGAACTTTTTATGGACATTATTTCATGGGTCAAAGAAGATAATAGAGAAGGAAAATCCAAACAAAACATCATGGAAAAATTTTGGATTTATTCTATGATTTCAGAAATTTAGTGAAAGGATGAAATTGGAAATAAGAATGGTTAGAGGGGCAAAATGGTCCATGAAATTTGCTTATATACGAGTAGCCTTCTTTATTAACCATCAGCACCGTGCGTCTCCTTCATTTCATCCTTTCCGCGGCGTTGAGAGAGCTTGAGAGTGAAGAGAGAACGGTGGAGAAGCAGAGAAGAAGAAAGTACCGATCGGACGCCTGAAACTTGCATGCAATTTTGGTTTTTGACCGAGGTGAGCCTCCTGATCATTCTCCCACTCTTCTCTTTTCTGTTTTCTGCGTGGTCTGGGCGGTGATGGAGGAGAGAGAGATGGGTTTTAGAGAGAGAAAGTAAAGGAAAGATGAAGGGAACCGGTGAACTCTTATTCCACGAGAAGACTGAAGTTGGTAGGAGTAGTTTTTGAGCTTGCATGTTCCTTTCTTTGTTTTTGTGCTGCTGTCCGAACAAGGGGTACATGTTTGGAATTGTTTAATAATGATTTTCGAGTGGCATGATTTATCTCGCTTCTGGTTATGGGGTCAATGTTCGCTTATGGGGGTCCTCCATGCTGTCAAGTTGTGAAGCTAGTGAGAGGTAGTAGTTACGTGTGTGTGTGTGTCCGAATGGTTGCTCTGTTTTAATTCGGCCAAACAGGGGTACATAACCTGAAGAAGTTGAAGTCAGATTCATGCATGTGTGGAAAGTGTTCTGTTCTGAATTGTAAATGACATACGAACATATAGAGGAGCTTGAGAACATAGTTTAATGGGTAGAAAGAATACTATATGAGTAGGAGATGGGTGATTTCGATTCATAGGACCAGAAAGAGCAAAACACGTTTTAGATAAATGTGATATATATATTTATGTATATGTGCGTCTTGGTCATGTTTGTAGGAACTGAATTTGTACAGTTAAATAGTTTTGAGATATGGAAGTAGAAAAGTTTTAGTTTGAGGAAAATTTCCAGATTTGAAGTAGAAGCATTCAAAAGCTGGCTTTGATATTGACGTAGGTGTGAAATAATTTTCAGAATTAAGGAGAAGGGTCCTTGTGTACTAAGATGGTGGTTAATGTAAGAAATTGCTAAGCAGAAGGAATGGAAGAGATTGTATTGAATTAAGAGTAAAGGAAATTGAATGATAAGATTATTGTTAATTATTGGAAGAGCATGTAGAAAGTTCATAGATTGAAATTTTGAGGCTTGACCGAAGGATTTATGAATTGCACTTAAATATGAGAAGTAGTTGGGGTTGTAAGATGAATGGTGAAGAATGAAGGGATTGATTGAATATAATGAAAATTTAGGGATTAAATGATTGAGTCTTAGAATTTATTTAGAAAATTGTTTGAGGAATAATTCCCAGATTATGAAAGGTTATTGGAGGAATGTTAGGCCAAAGATTAAGAAGATTAATAGATGGTTTGAAATTGAAATTGCTTGGCTTGGAAATAAGATGAAATCAATTTGTCTCTCTCGGCCATGGGTGAAAATTAGTGAAGTTGGATTTTAATTATTTTTACTTCATTGGGATTCGGTGACTGAGGTATGAAGGGCACTTGGTTGTCCTTAGAAGTGACATACATGTATATATAAAATCTTTGACTAAGATGACCAGTTACTATGTAAAGTAACACTATGAGTTGAGATAAGGAAGGAAGCATTCCAAAGAGAATAGTTTGAATAAGAAAAATTATCCAGGGTGACCAACTATTGTGTAAGGGTAGAAATTAAAGAAGATTTGGGATTTAAAAAGTTATTTAATTTATGAATTATAGTTGGATCAAATATTGATCTATCCTTACGAACATGATAGGTTTTGATATCTGCTCAAGCCCACCAAGAAGCAGAAAGATAGGAGAACGATAAGATTTGATTTGGAGGGAAGCAGACCAGGTAGTAGTTCTTTCCTCCCTTACACTTATGTATGATTGCTGCATGTCTGTTTGTGCCATATTGCTATTCAAAAAGCATGAGAACATGTAATCCTTAATTCCTTGCATGGATTATTTAGCTGTGATCACGTGCAGCTGATAGACATGGGGCAGTGATTGCCAATTATTTGCGCTTTACTTATTCAGCTTGTCTAACAGACATGGGGCAGTGATTGCCAATTATTTGCGCATTATTTATTCAGCTTGTCTATCTGTCATTGCGCATAAATGCTTAATTGCATTAGCTTGCAAGGTTTTGTTCCATATGGCTTGTTTTGCATGTTTATGTGATCTGCACATTTGTTTGATGGAAATTACTACTACGGGGATTCTTCGGAATCTCACCCCCCCAATTTATGATGAACAGTGAAGGCTAGTAGCTAGAAGGACAAGGAGGTTATTTAAGAAGAAGGTGGGCTGATTGAAGAGCAGAGATACCTGTTATAATTCTGTAAATTGTATAGTAAATATTCGGGCAAGTAACTTTACTTGCTTTATGGAAATATTATTTTGTATCCTTTAGAAGAAGGAGGAGAGCATTGCCAGGTGCACGTATATGCTGTCAACCAAGAGCGTTGCTTTATTTTTAATATAATATTATAAGATTGTATAGTATGAAATTATTTTAGGTGATAATAGATTGAGTTGAAAGCATGGTTGATATTGGATCACTAATCTGTTATCTGAAGGTTTGAAACATTTGATCAACGGATTCCAATGTTGAAGGAAAAGGAAAAAAAAATTCCCTGTCTTTTCCCAGGACGGAAACCTGGCGTTAGTGATTCACAGACGTTAAAATGATCCTATTAGTATATAAAAGTGAGGTGTTGCAACTTGGTTTAATTTATAGATTTTTTATACTTATTTAATTATCTTTTATATATTTCTTCTTTTATAAAAATTGTAAGATAAAAAAGAATTTTGAGACAAAATCTATTCCTATCCTATTTTATTTCTGAGGAGATATTAATAGATATGGGAGAGGAGAAAATCATTTTGTGTGTGTGTGTGGGTATAAACACATATGCGGACCTTAAGAGGAGGAATGAAGAAAGCACACTCTAC